TCACGTTTGGTACTTCAGTGAGTCTGAGTCCTTATACCTTATACATTGTCTTCTTGTATAGGGCAGTGGTAGGGGGGTCTTCTGGAAGAGCCCTTGTATATCTTTTTCTGGTGGTGTTCCTCGCATTCTCGAGATTCGGGGTGGTGGCGGGCAATTTCCATTGAGAATGCGAGGAACTATTTGAGATCCCTAATGAGGCTCTTATTTTGTCTTTCGACTGGTATCGCCGAGGCATAAGTCTTCTGGACTGCACAATGTCTGAAGTTTCTAATTGGTGCTTTTGGGCGCAGATAGTGTTTCAAACCGAATTTTGACAATTTAGAAATTTGATCCCATGATTGATTAGAAATATATCTATGTTGATAGCTTTTCTGAAGCTTTACCAATGAATGGACCTGTCGACAATTGCCATGCCAAACCTTTCTAGCAGGCTGACACAAGACTCTTCAAGTGGCCTAGACGACCAACACTGTTCAGAAGCCCTTCGACTTCTTTTCGGACGATAATCTTCGTGCAGGGTTGGAAAGGGCTGGAGAGAACTGGGGGGCGGTGATATGCATCTCAGCACGAAGATGTCGATATCGGCGCAGATCCCGCAATCTGGCCGACACGAAAACCTTTTGCAGGTGGAGCTACCGGCAAATTTGCCGGGCCTCCTGCATAAACAGGCTGGAGACTGGGTCGAACTACTGTTGGTGCCATGGCCCCTCCGCGTCATACCCAAGTCGATGTATCCACCCCAAACACAGAAAGGGCTTAGGGTTTGGGATTTAGGGTTTAGGGCAAAACCCTAAGCCCTAAACCCTAAATCCAACCAGGAACGACCTCTGGCGGTGCCCTCCCGACCAGCGAAGTTTAGGGTTTAGGGCTTGGGGTTTCAGATTCAGAGGCTCTGCAGGAATAAAAAGGCTAAACTTTATTCCTGTACAAAAAGGAAACCCATAAAGTTCAAAGTTCAACCATTGGCCAAGTAAGTTTTAGGGGTTGAGAGCGTAGCCTGTGAACAAACTCATGCACGCGCCGAATGCTAGTAGTTTTGGTTCTCGCCCCTTTAGGGTTGGAGCGTTATTTTGCTACAGGACCCTAAACCCTTTTTTTCTTAGAACCCAGACTCCTGAACCCTAAACCCTAAACCCTACACCCTAAACCCTGCCTACAGGACCAACAGCAGTGGCAACAAGGCAATGGCAATCACTGCATTGCGCGGCGCGGCGAAAGAGAGTACAGCAGCATCCGGCTCCTGCCCCGACCCTAAGCCCTAAGCCCTAAACCCTAATCCCTAAACCCTAAACCCGAAATCCTCAGGACCTGTATGTTGGGATGTGCCCCTTATACGAACAGACCCTTACTAAGGACTGTTCGTATAAGGGGGGGAACATCCCAACCTGCAAAAAAAGGACTTGTCCATCTTCCCGCTCCTGCCAAGAAAACTCGGTCCCCAAGGCCACAAACAGCCCCAGAAGCTCCAAAAGGCCAGGGGTTTAGGGTTTAGGGTTTAAAGGGTTTAGGGTTTAGCCCCCCCCCCCCCAAAAAAAGGAGCAAAGGCAACACAAAATGCCACGAAGGGCGACCATACAGTTTTGCCCCGAGCGGGTGGACACCGGGCTCGAGACCCTAAACCCTAACTGCGAACTATCCAACTTGACCACTCCCGGGATGGGCTATGAGGCCCTATAATCCCCATAATCAACCCTACAAAGGCCTCTTTAAGGATGGGCTACTAGGCCCTACAATCCCCATAGTCAACCTTTGAAGGCCTGTTTAAGGGGTTATAGGGTATAATATTATCAACCAGGCTGTCATTAGCCCATCCTGGTCTTTTCGGGCCCCCGACCCAGTGGGATGTTACGTGCCCGGGCTAATGCGCGTCTTCTGCTTTGAGTCTGGCGCCTTTTGAGGGCCTTTTGGGCACCCCCCCCCCCCCCCCCCCCCCCCCCCCCCCCGGACAAAAAAAAGGGTTTAGGGTTTAGGCTTTCGGGTTTGGGGTCAAAAGAAGGAACAAGGCGCCTCCAAAAGCTCATCTGTTCGGGCTTGGGTCCCCAATCCAGAGGAAACAGGGGAATTCTCACTCTTTTGTGGGATTTTGATGCTTCTTGGCTGCTTCTACAAAGGCCTCCAAAAAGAACAACCCACTGTTTCAAGGGCTGAAAAGGCCGGTGTTTTCAGCCAAAAGCCAAAACAAAAACTGTGTCCATAAACCCTAAACCCTGAAGCCCTAAAACCATTAACCTAAAAACCCCAACACCCCAAGCCCTGCATCCTAAAGCCCAAAACCCTTAAACCCTCCTTGCCTCTGGAAAACAGAGGGCTTGGGCTTGCGGTTGAGGTTTAGGGCTCGGGACCTCACAGTGGGTTAGGGTTCCCCGAGCCCGACACCCCAAACCCTAAACCAGGCGTTTTCGAGAACAACGTGTTGGACGAACGTGTGGGTTGCCTGGGTCAGAGGTGCACGACACTGCTGCCCGCAAATGAGTATGCCCGGGTTTGGGGTTTGGGTTGAGGGCTTAGGGATATGTATGTATAAATATAAATATATATATATATATGTATCCATACATATATATTATATATACATGTGTAGACATGTAAGCGAATTGGTGTCAAACGTGGAAGCATTTCCGACATGTAGCTGTGGCACCATCCTAAGCCTAAGCTCTAAACACCAAAGGCCTTAGGGTAATGCCCAGGCAAGTGTAGACAAGATAATCCCTCTTATGAGGAACCCAATCACCTAAATTTAGGAAACACCCTATATGGGGGGCTTCCGAAATTAGGGGCATTTTATTCGAGTATGAGGTGGACGGCTTGACTGGTGGATGCCCGCGCCCGTATTCTGGTCACTCTGGTTTAGGGTATATAGGATTGCGCCTTTCGAATTTTAGGATTTGCGGGTTAACTTTCCCGGCCTGTGTTTCAGCCCTGCGCGAATGGGCTCTGCAACAGTGCTGTGGTCCAAGCCGGCACCCTATCAGATGGTACTCCCAGCGCCAAAGCCTGAAACCCTAGACCCTAAACCCACAGCCCTAACCCTACCTAAACCCTGGCCCTTAACCCTACACCCTGCTAACCCTAAACCCTAAACCCTAAATCCTAAACCCTAAACCCTAAACCCTAAACCTTACGCTCTGCAGCCTGAGCCTGCAAAGTCATGCTTTGTGAGCCTTCGTGGGCTCCGTCCAGCTGTAGTTCTCATCGATGGTGCAGCTTGGGATAGTGAAGACCCGCTGCTGCTCCTGCGCACGGGACATCAGGATAGGAACAGACCAGCTGGCAGCTCAAATCCAGAAGACTGCAGACTAGGGTTAGGGTTTAGGGTTTAGGGTTTAGGGTTCAGGGCTTGAGGTTTAGGGTTTAGGGTTTATGGTTTATGGTTTAGTGCTTAGGGTTCCCAAAAAAAACCTACACACCCAAAACCCTGCATGGCGAACATGCCTTTCATTCGCGAGCTCCCTCTGAATCCTAAACCCTAATAGGCCCTAAACCTAAGAGCCCTACACCCGGAGCACTCCAAACCCTTTGCAACAGACCGTATACACCCTCAACCCTTTTTGCAGCTGGCCTGGGGGGGTGATCCAGACCCCTCAACCCTACGCCTCTTTCACATATATCTTCAACCCTGCTTGGAGGTTCAGGGTACTTATAACCCCGCTATGAGTGGTGTTATGATTCACTTAGAAGCACCTTCAGCACTTCTCATTAGGGCTATATTTGGGTTGTAAGTACAGCTATGATTGGGTTACTACGTACCGACTAGGTACCCTGAACCTCCAAGTAATGGAGTTCGTGGGCAAGTGTTGTTTTCACTATCCCACGAACTTTTTGACACTTGCCCGCGAGCTTTTTGAGACTTCAGGGACCAGGTGTCACAAAATTTGTGTGGGGAGGTGGGTATATTGCCGATTCACGAACACAGTGCATGACTAGCGACTGCCTGGACTTGAGCTGCTAAACCCTAAGCCCTAAGCCCTAAGCCCTCCCTAAGCCCTAAGCCCTAAGCCCTAAGCCCTAAGCCCTAAGCCCTAAGCCCTAAACCCTAAACCCTAAACCCTAAACCCTAAACCCTAAACCCATGGGGTCCTCGTTCTCCGGGGAAAACCAGGCTGTAGCCGAGTCTTTCCCTGGGGCGCTCACGGAGCCGAAGCGCCAGTAGCCTTGCAAAGGGGGGGGTTTAGGGTTTAGGGTTTAGGGTTTAGGGTTTAGGGTTTAGGGTTTAGGGTTTAGGGTTTAGGGTTTACGGCTTAGGGCTTAGGGTTCCTGCAGTCTAAACCGTAAACCCTCAAGGCCAACCAAAACCCACCCCCGCCCAGAAAACAAAAAAAAAAACGACACTTTAGAAGCGCTAAGCATCTATCACAAAAAGTCATTTCATTCAACAGCACAAGATACAACCCCCCAAAACAAAAAACAAATGGAAACAAACCCTATACTTTCAGTTGAAAAGCAACGGGAAAACACCCAAAAAATAAATTTCATTCAAGAAGCAGAAGAAAGACAAAACAACAAAAAACACCCCAAAACGCGACCACCCCCCCAAAGCTCCGAACACTAACCCGTTGCACATTTCTATAAACCCTAAACCTTTTTGCGCCTGGACTGGCCCTCAACCCTAGCCCTGAACCCCTTGCTTAAGCTAGGGCCGTAAACCCCCGGCCCGTTCATGGAGGCCTGAGGGCCTTCATCGTAGCTATTTCGGTCCTGATGGAGGTTCTTGGGGTTTTGGGGGGAGGGGGTCTCGGACCTTCTAGCCGTAAACCCTTAACCCTAAACCTTAAACCCTAAACCCTCACCCTAAATCCTAAACCCCAAACCCTAAACCCTAAACCCCAAACCTGGGTACATGGACTCAGGCTTCCCCTCAAAGGCTCCCAGGTTTTGCCCGATGCGCGCATGAGAGTCGCCTCTCTGAACAAAAAATCGAGATAGCATTTGCCGGTTTCGGGTTTAGGATTTAGGGTTTCGGGTTTAGGGGTTAGGTTTGAGGGTGTAGTTTAGGGTTTAGGGTTGAGGGTTTCGTGGTATGCAGTGCCCTCAGTCCGTGGCTAAGAAGGGTTTGCACACCTGTAGCCATAACCCCCGCCCCCCCCCTGAATGCTCATCATAATCATGTCCTCTAGCCCCCCCGCGATCAAACGATTCAGGCGGACTGTCAGGAAGCAAGCTGAGAGTGGCTTCTGCCTCAACTCACCGTGCACAGCCTGTTCTCCGCTGCAAGCAGCAAGAGAGCAATCCGGGCGTGGCAGTCGCACGAGGCGCTCATGAGAGCACTCTTGCCAGAGTCGTCTTGTAAGTTCTGGTCGGCGCCAGATTCCTATACTCCCCTTAGAACCCTAATTAAAAATGAGATTGCGAATATCCTCTTGGGTCTTAATATAAACAGAAATAAAGAAAAACAATTCCCAAGGGGGAGATATAGCTTCCATCAGCAAGGAAACAATCTCGACGTGTCCCCTGCGAACTGCGTTCATGAGAGCGGTGAAGCCGGAGTTGTCCTGCAAATTCGTGTCAGCACCAGCTTCAAGCAGCAGACGTACAACCTCGACATGCGTCTTGCAAGATGCATGCATCAGTGCTGTGAGGCCGGTCAGGCTTTGAAAGTTTGTGTCTGCACCAGCTTCCAGCAGCAACCGTACAATCTCAACGTGGCATTCGTGGGCCGCGATCATGAGTGCGGTCGTGCCGGAGTTGTCCTGCATGTTAACCTTAGTTGCTGAGTTCATAAGCCCCCAAGAAGTGTACACTTTCAGTCCTATAGGGGATCATAGTATCCCAAAAAAGTGTAAAGTGTGCTCACTCGGCTACTAAGTAACTACAGCACCGGCATCGAGCAGCAAGCGCGCAGCTTGGAGAGCGCCGTTGGTCGATGCCTGCATGAGAGGTGTCGTGCCGCTCCAATGCTGCAAGTTCGTGTCTGCGCCAGCATCCAGCAGCAAGCGCACAATTTCGATCTGCCGTTGGCAAGGTACGGTCATGGTGCTCAGGAGAGCACTGGCGCCGGAGTTGCCCTGCATGTTCGCGTCGGCACCCCCTCCCAGGAGCAAACGCACAGTTTCCACGTGGCTGTGGCAACATGCGTAGGTGAGGGCGGTATCCCGAAGGTTGTCTTGCAGGTTGATGCCAACGTTGGCCTCCAGCAGCAAACGGATGGTCTCATTGTGTCCCTTCAAGGATGCCTGCATAAGAGCGTTCATCCCGTCACTGTCCTGCAAGTTCATGTTGGCACCAGCTTCCAGCAGCAACCGTACGATTTCAACATGGTTCTCAGAAGACGCTGCCATGAGAGCTGACATACGGCTCCAGCCTTCCTGTCCATCCTTGTCAGTCCCTGCGTCCAGCAGTGCAAGGGTTACGCCGACATCGCCTGACAAGGCAGCCTGCAAGAGCTCCCTCACAGCCTCAACCTTGGCAGCCCATTAACCACATTTTCATAAGGGCACCCCTTTTGGGTTTTTGGGTGGGGTGCTTTATAAGGGAAGCTGAACCCCCCCAAAAAAAGCACAAAAGGGCACAACTGGGCGACCAAGAAACTGTTTGCTCTGGGTTGAGGGTGGACAACACCACCAGCTGTAGGTCCACTGGCCCGTGCAGAGGATCATTGTTCTCCAGGCAGGTCTCGCCTTGAAGGAGTTGTTGAAGGCATACCTTGGGTAGGTACTTGGGGGGGGCCAATAGAAACATGAAAAATCATATTATGTCTTTATAAGGACTCTACACAGGGGATTTCAGGGTGCTAGAAATGAAAAAAATATGTTCAAGCCTGTCCCTGATACAGGGTAGTTGTGCTCCCTGCGCAAGGCCTTCTTCAGGGCCAGCACGTTACCTTAGTAGCCCAGTAACCCTAAACCCTAAACCCTAAACCCTAAACCCTAAACCCTAAACCCCAAAACCCTAAACCCTAAACCCTAAACCCACTGGGCTCCCAAGTTACGGAGGTCCTCCGTGGGCATGGAGGCCAGCTCTTCCCCCGACACGCTCCACACCCGAAGCATGGCGTGGCAGCACCAGGGTGGATTGCTTACCGCTGGTTAGTAAGTTTAGGGTTTAGGGTTTAGGGTTTAGGGTTTAGGGTTTAGGGTTTAGGGTTTAGGGTTTAGGGTTTAGGGTCTAGGGCTTAGGGTTTAGTAGAGAATGAGGGAACGAGGTACCCTATATCCCCCGAAGTATACCCTTCAAGGGATTCTTTAAGGTTACCTCATTCCCTCGTTCCCTACCAACCAAAAGTAAGTTTGGACAAGACCTACTCCCCTTTAGAGGCGTAATGATGAAGAGACTCTTTAGTATTGCGCTTTTGGCAATCTTCCCTCCGGGCTTAGATAGACAGAGCGTAAAGTACACTAAGTACGTCCTGACTGAGGCTAGAAATTGGCCAGCAATCATCTCAACATCTCGAGCCTGCGGAAGCTTCTCAGTCAGACAATGGCAGGCTCTTAGCTCTTGGACAATGAAGACTTGCTTCCTTGGGTAAGAAATGAACCGTAAAAGGGCTACGATCCATATATCCCGTAGATGGGAATTACAGCAGAACCAAGATCCCAATTGCTGAGCTCGTTTGGTCTCAAAGACTCCGAAGGCCAGACTCCTGCACTACTTTCCCATGTGGCCCAGGAGGTGTGACAGAGACTTGCTTCGGGGTGCGGAGGGCTTCGCGGCCGAATGGGGGCTTACGGCTTCTAGGGTTTACCCTAAACCCTAAACCTAAGCCCTAAACCCTAAACCCTAAACCTTTAGGGCTTGGGGTTTCAGGCTTGCTCCAACGGTAAGTAAGAAGATTTCAGGATCACGGCTTGAACGCCCAAAGCCCCAGATCTTGGCATTTTGGCAGGCGCCCCGTAGGGTTTAGGGTTTAGGGTTGAGTCAGTGCGAGCTTTGTCAGCCCTCTCCCCCTGGCATGGGAATGGATCTCCACTAGGGGGGGGGCTTAAGGTTTAGTCTGTAGGGTTTTAGGGTTCTCTGAACTATCAGGATTTTATGATGCTGGAGCGACACATGTGACCAAAAGCATGTTAAACTTCGCGATCCCAGCAGCATCGGGCAACGTTCCACTGCGTCACGACAAATCGCTGCTCGGATGAGGCCCAGTTGCGGATGATCGGGATCTCCTGATGTGTTCGCTCAACTCATTTAGGGTTTAGGGTTTAGGGTTTAGGGTTTAGGGTTTAGGGTTTAGGGTTTAGGGTTTAGGGCCTCGGTACCAGTTTTATCTCAGGGCTGCACAGATCCAAAAATCAGAAATGTTTCCCAGGAAGGCTATTGAAGTCAAGACAGACACGCCAATCTCAAACCTTCTTCTTGCCTTTGCTTTCCTGAACCCTAAGCCCTGAACTCTAAACCCTAAACCCTAAACCCTAAACCCTAAACCCTAAACCCTAAACCCTTTTGCAAACCCTAAACCCTAAACCCCAAACCCTAAACCCTAAACCCTAAACCCTAAACCCTAAACCCTAAACCCTAAACCCTAAACCCTAAACCCTAAACCCTAGCCGTAAGCCCTAAACCCCCTTCACTCCCTTAAGCCCTGCCAGGGCCAACCCGCTGTCTTGTGCGAGCACGTCCATGACACAAATGTAATGCTACTGCAGGGAATGCGAATCCCCGAGTGGACTGTCTTTCGATATATACATATGTATATAAATAAATAAATAAATATATATATATATATATATACATACATACATATAAGCCCTAAACCCTAAAAAATAAATTTCGAGGAGTCAAGAATGGGTGGGAATCTAGTCTTTGTGGCAGACGCCACATTATCTGTAGCGCATTTCAATTAACAAGCGGTCCCGCCTGAGAGTCGGTTAGTGAAGAGGCGCGATTTCGAACGGTCGCGAAGAATGTTGACAAGCTCATTGGCGCATGCAGGGGGCTAAGCTCAAGGCCCTAGAACCACGAAACATCATCCTATCAGCCCCAAAAACCTTTGTGCAAGAAGACGCTGGCCTCACGGCTAGTAGTTGTACATGATGCTGTGAAATGCATAGTGCAGCCCAGCCCTAAACCCTAAACCCTAAACCCTAAACCCTAAACCCTAAACCCTAAACCCTAAACCCTAAACCCTAAGCTTGAAAGGTGCTCCACAAGTAAACCCTAACCGATGTATTCAAAACCCAAGGTGCTTCGAAGGGTTTGGATTTGGGGGTTCAGGGCTGAGGGTAACCCTAATTAAACCCTAAACCCTAAACCCTGAACCCTAAACCCTAAGCTTTCGGAGGACCAAGGAGTCAACCGAAACCCTCGCTGCAAGAACTAGTTGCCCAACCTCGCGCCAGACATTGAACAGGCTGGCGTGCGTTCGCGGTCGGGAGTCGCGCACCGTTCCAGTCTTCCTGAGAACTGTTTAGGGTTTAGGGTTTAGGGTTGAGGGTTAAGGGTTAAGGGTTTCGGGTTTAGGGTTTCGGGTTTAGGGTTTAGGGTTCCCCAGGATTGTGGGGCAGAACGACTACTTGGATGTCCATGGATAAACCCTGAACCCTCTAGGGGTTTTACCTTGGAGCCTTAAGGTTGTGTACCCTGGACCCTAAACCCCACCTCCTTTCCAAGGGGCATGCCGCCCGTGGGGTGCAGGTGACCGGCAAAGACTGCCAACGTCCGCGAGAACTCGACGAGCTCGGAAAAGTAGTCGTAGCGCTCCACCTGGTTCCACTGAAGCCCCAAGCCCTTTTGCACCAAAAGGGCTCTCGCAACCCCTAAACCTTAAACCGTAAACCCTAAGCCCTAAAACTAAAAAGTCTTGGATTCCTAAACCCTGGGAGAATAGATCGACTCCCAGTTCTTACACGACGTGCATGTGCATGTACCTGTGCCTTGGTTGAGTCTGGGGCTTCCACTGCGCTTAGGGTTTAGGGCTTCTCAATTTAGGGTTTAGGGTTCATAACCCTAAACCCTAAACCCTAAAAAAGCCTAAGGGTTTAGGGCTTAGGGCTTATCAATTTAGGGTTTAAGGTTTAACCCTAAACCCTAAACCCTAGTCCCTAAGCCCTAAGGGCTTAGGGCTGAACATGTCTGATGTTCCCTTGGCGCCACCGCGATGTCGCAAGCCTCGGGGCCAAGGCGTCGGCCTCAACCCTTTAGGTTTTAGGGTTTAGGGTTTAGGGCTTAGGGTATAGGGACAACCATAAACCCGATGAGCCTAAACCCTTAAGCCCTTAAACTGGGAACCTGACACCTAAGAATCCTAAACCTTAAAATGGAAACCTGACACCTAAGAATCCTAAACGCTGAAGCCCTGAAAACGGAAACCTAGAACCTATGAATCCTAAACCCTTAAGCCCTCAAAACGGAAACCTAAAACCTCTGAACCCCATACCCTTAAGCCCTGAAAATGGAAACCTAAAACCTATGAACCCCAAACCCTTAAGCGCTTAACATCCCTTGAGCCCTTAAAATGACAACCATAAACCCTACGAACCCTAAACCCTTAAGCCCTTAAAATGGAAACCTAAAGCCTAAGAATCCTAAACCCTTAAGCCCTTAACATGAAAACCTAAACCTATGAACCATAAACCCTTAAGCCCTTAAATTGAACACCATAAACCCTGTGAAGACCAAACCCTTGAGCCCTTAAATTGAAAGCGTAGACCCTATGATTCCTAAACCCTTGAGCCCTTAAAATGGAAACCGGACACCCTATGATGCCTAACCCTTAAGCCTGAAAGTTGAAACCTAAACCCTATGAACCCTGAAGCCTATGAACCCTAAACCCTAAACCCTAACCCCTAAACACTAAACCCCGGGTCGTTGCATGGGCCCTTTTACGTGGCCCCTTACCTTCTTTTTCATTGGTCTGGAGTATGCTGGGTGTTAAAGGGTGTAGAAGGGGCATATAAGGAATCCCCATTTTAAGGGCTCATTCCAAGGGAACATGTAACCACCCTAAGGGTGTAGGGAAACCGAAAGCACTTAAGGGAACAACCTAAACCCTAAACCCTAAACCCTAAACCCTAAACCCTAAACCCTAAACCCTAAACCCTAAACCCTAAACCCTAAACCCTAACCCTAAACCCTAAATCCTAAACCACCAAACCCTGAAGGTTGCCTGGCTGTCGTGTTCCGCAGGGCTGAAATGCTGGCCTGTAGCAGCTGTCTCAGGATTACCAGGGCGCAGGGTTTAGGGTTTAGGGTTTCGGGTTTAGGGATTCTAGGGTTTAGGGTTTGGGTTTAGGGTTTCTAGGGTTTAGGGTTTGGGGTTTGGGGATTCTAGGGTTTAGGGTGTTTAAGGGATTGGGTCGGGTTGACCTAGGAGAGCAGGAAGTTCAACTGTTGGGCTCAGGGTGTTAGGGGCTTGGGCTGGGGGCGAGGAGGGGCTAAGATTCTTTGGCTGCCTGACGGCAAGCTTTCTATTTGGCAGCCCGAAACCCATTTTTGCAGCAGGCCTCGTCCCAAACCCTAAGCCCTGAACCCTAAACCCTAAACTTTGCCCTAAACCCTGAACCACTGAACCCCTGAACCCCTGAACCCCTGAGCCGCTAAACCCCTACACCCCCTAAACCCCTGAACCCCTGAACCCCTAAACCCCTAAACCCCTAAACCCCTAAACCCCTGAACCCCTGAACCCCTAAACCCCTGAACCCCTAAACCCCTAAACCCCTAAACCCCATAAACCCCATAAACCCCATAAACCCCATAAACCCCATAAACCCCATAAACCTCTAAACCCCTAAACCCCTAAACCCCTAAACCCCTAAGCCGTAAACCCTTCAGGGGGGGCTCAGCTCGCAGTCACCAGGCTAGAATGCCAGATGTCAGGGTCTAAACCCTGCATTTGTTTTTGAACCCGTGCTGCTAAACCCTAAACCCTTAATCACTTTCCCCTTTTACTCAAGACCACCCTAATATTAAAAACACTTTCCGGACCCCGCCTTTTAAACCCTATTCCGAATTAGGGGGGGGGGGTTAACCCTATCTTCCAGATGCCACGATCAAAAGCGCTGGATGAGAAGCGAACAAAAACGCTGACAGGTCGATGGCTACCGAATGCGATTTGGGGTTTAGACCCAAAGCCACTCAAACCTAAGCCCTAAGCAACAATTCCTCCCAAGCTGCTATACTACTACTTTGCACAAGCACCCCCCCCCCCCAAAAAAAAAAAAAAAAACACGAAATAATAATCGCTATATTGCCCTTGTGAGGAAGAATGTTTTTTCATATTCTTCGCGGGTTCTTAAGCAAATAGTAGTATACTCAGATAAAGCCCAAGTGGCCCATGTCATGCATGACGAGCACAAGGTAGTCTTCGGTCCTGTTAGCCTCAGCCACCTGGCCAACATGCGCGGAGAAGGCGCGGAGGATGTTCGACAGTGCGAGACACCCCTTCTAGCGATCCCTAGCAAGGAGGCTTGTGCACCTTCACCAGAAATTTCTTACATCAAGCTTGGGTATCCTCTCTGTTTGTGGGGAGGGTGAGCGCTTTTTTGCTCTTAAGCAGGAACCCTGAACCCTGAACCCTAAACCCTAAACCAAGATCAGACCAGCGGGGGAGTGGGAGGTCGTGTGCCGAGTTATGGCCAAACCTTCGCCAAACCCACTCTCTACCCACCCTGAGCCTCAAAAGCTCTTCATGAAGGACTATACCGCAATTTGTACTAAGGGTCATGATTCTGAACTAGGGTATACTCCTGAGCTAAGGATCATGATTATGAATTAGGGTATGTTCCTTGACCAAAGGGTTTTGGAAGATCTGGGTAGGGTTTGGGGTTGGAGGGTTGCCAAACCTTAAACCCTAAACCCTAAACCCTAAACCCAAAACCCTAAACCCAAAACCCCAAACCCTAAACCCTAAACCCTAACCAAAACAAAAGTACCCTGAGCCTCAAAGTCGGGTTTGGGGTTGGAGGGTCAAAAGGGCCGCTCTTGGCCTCATCTTTCAAGAAGCCGATGGTGGAGGACATGCCCGTCAGCTGAGAGCGCCGGAAGGTTGGGTAGTTGTGCAAATGCACCTGGGAGTTTACGAAGGGTTTATTTAGGGTTCAGGGTTTAGGGTTTAGAGTTTGGGGTTTAGGGAGTTTACGAAAATAGGGGACCCCCAATATAGAGCCACAACTACTAGGATTTCCTGATAATAAGGATCCCAATAAGGTACCCGTAATTTCGGAAACCGAAGGTAGTTGTGCAAATGCACCTGAGTTTGGGGGCTTCAAGCTAGTCTCTGCTTGAGAACCTTCCCCTCCCCCCCCCACCAACAAAAAATCAGAAGTCAAAAATAAATAAATAAATATATATATATATATATATATATTCTTCCTTACAAGGGCAGGCTAGGGGCGTTGTACTTTTGTATTTTGCATCTTTTGTTCTTTTTTGGGGCGCGGTTCTTAAGCAAATAGTCGCAAGGTGCCCGAATTTCCCATGAGTATGGGCGCCTTGCCTGTGCTCTTCAACCGCTTGAGAGAGCCCCGGGTTGAGGTGCCTTCAGGCTATCGGTGTCCCCGAAGAATAGTGGAGCTTTAGGGATGGGGATTAGAGTTTGAGGTTTGGGGGGGGGGTGGGGTTTAGGGTTTAGGGTTTAGGGTTTAGGGTTTAGGGTTTAGGGTTTAGGGTTTAGGGTTTAGGGTTTAGGGTTTAGGGTTTAGGGTTTAGGGGGTTTAGGGTTTAGGGTTTAGGGTTTAGGGTTTAGGGTTTAGGGTTTAGGGTTTAGGGTTTAGGGTTTAGGGTTTAGGGTTTAGGGTTTAGGGTTTAGGGTTTAGGGTTTAGGGTTTAGGGTTTAGGGTTTAGGGTTTAGGTTTCAGGGGTTCAGGTTTCAGGGTTCAGGTTTCAGGGTTCAGGGTTTAGGGTTTAGGGTATAGGCACGTGGACCCAGCCAGAGGGCCTGAAGTAGCAGAAGCGAGTCCTAGATGCTGCCTTAGCCACGGGCTGCTGGGCGACCCCGTTGTCACTCTGTAACCGACAACGCTTCTGTCAGCAAACGGTGGAGACCCCTTTATACCCCCTTAGAGCCCCCCCCTGTTCGTTCCTTAAACCCTAAACCCTCCAAAGTCTCTTCGGAGCTTGCTGGGGGCATGCCGCAAAGCCGCGAAGCGGATGCGGCCATAGCGGACGGTGTACGCTGCCGAGTCCTGGCTTCCCCACGGTTTAGGGTTTAGGGTGTAGGGTTTAGGGTTTAGGCACCCCCCCCCTCCCCCCGCAACCCTCAGAGTACTTGATAATCCATCTACCATGATAATGCGTTTGTCTGTCCTGTGCTATGTCGTAATGTGCTGTACTATACTGGTGCAAGCTCTGACTACAGAAAAACCCCACAAAAGTTGGAGAACATCCTTCTCCATACCCCAAAGGTATACAAAAACGGACTCACAGCTCCCATCATCCTTAAGGCATGTTCCAACTTTTTGCCGTTTACTGTATACTGTTGATGCACTGTTCCTACACTGTTACCGTATGATTCGGCATGACAGGTTACAATCACATGCTCGAATCTGCGATGGTGGGATGTTAAGTCTAGAGCTATCGATCCAGGCGTCGGCGTTTGCATCAGCCACCATAGTGGGTTTCTTTGTGGTCGGGCTTGGGGCGGGGCTAGGCTTTCGACTCACGTCCGAAACAGGCCGCAAGGTGGAAATCTCTGCACTTGCGTTCTGACCTGGGTTGGGCAAAAGTGTTGGCTCCTTCGTGGTACTATACGGGGGGTATGCACTACACAAGACGGAAAGAATGGACCTCACCTTACCTTGGGCTCACCATGATTCACCTCACGTCAAACCAGCTATACCCCAAACTCTAAAGCACTACCCGACATCCCTCCCAGGGCCAAGCGGAAGAAGTCCCCCAACCCGCCTTGTGATAGTGGTCCACGTAGCCGCCAAAGTTTTTCACCACTGTCTCACCCCCACACTTGGCGACTGCCGCGCGGATGTAGGTCAGCCTTGGCAAGCTTCGAGGACAAGGGCGTAGCATCCATTGCCCTGAGCAAAACCCTACACCCTGAACCCAAAACCAACCCTTTACCCTCGAAGCCCTAACCCCTCCATCCTTCTAAACCTCGACTTTGCATGTGGCATCCATCCGCGAAACCTATGCCCCAAGACTCATGAAAAAACAGCGCATGTTCCTGTGAGGTCCTCCTCATTTTCAAGTTGGCAGGGTGCAAGCCTTCGGGTTTTGGGTTCATGGTTGCAGGATCTTAAGAGGGCTAGTCGTAGCGATCGGGCTTGAAGATCTAGGCGTGTGGCGCGTAGGGTTTTGGAGGGGTTGGAGGGAAGGTCCTAGGGGTGTTAAATTGAGCTTGAGGGTCGGGAGTGTAGCTCCGTTTTGGATTTTTTGTCTTCTTGTTGGGAGATCAGGTTTTGGCTGCATCTCACACTACGGCCATGCAACTCTAAACCCCAAGCCCTGAATCCTAACTCCCAAACCCAAACACCAAACCCCTGAACGCCAGCCACGCTAGCCCAAAACCCTAAACCCCAAGGCGTTTAACCCCAGAAAACTGCCAAGATACATTCGCTGAGCACAGCCGTTCATGGCATAGGGCACCCAGGTGGGCTCCTTGCAAATACAGCTGCTAAGGTTTAGGGTTTAGGGTTTAGGGTTTAGGATTTAGGGTTTAGGGTTTAGGGTTTAGGGTTTAGGGTTTAGGGCTTACGTACCCTAAACCCTAAACCCCAAACCCTCTTTCTCATGTAATAGCCACCTCCAGGAGTGTCATGCAGCCCTCGATGTTGTTGGCGTAGTCGTGGTTGCCAAGTCCCGGCCAGATGGGCAGCCTCGGAAAGTGTCGTTCTTTGCTCGGCTTTGGGTATCAGGGTTTAGGTTTTAGGGTGCTTAGGGTTTAGGGTGCTTAGGGTGCTTAGGGTGTTTAGGGTGTTTAGGGTGTTTAGGGTGTTTAGGGTGTTTAGGGTGTTTAGGGTCTTCGGGATAAGGTCGATTGAGGCCTTTTTTGCAGGACTTCTTTGGATTTAGGGATAAGGCTCTTTCAAGGGAGATCGATTTTTTTTGGGGAAAGGCCGTCCTTTCTCTGTCTCTCTATCCCTTGCCTCTCCCCCTCTCCCTCTCTGTCTATCTCTCTCTCTCTCTCTCTCTCTCTCTCTCTCTCTCTCTCTCTCTAGCTTTCCATTTAAGGTTTAAACCCTAAACCCTACATCCTAGACCCTAAGCCCCAACATGATCGAGATCGATCCCCCGCCACATGCCCCTCTGCTCTCGTGCTGAGACTTTCGCACTCTGAAGGAGCCCTGCAGCTGAGCTCACAGTGCCGTCTTGTAAAAAGCATTGGGTTTAGGGTTTAGGGTTTAGGGTTTAGGGTTTAGGGTTTAGGGTTTAGGGTTTAGGGTTTAGGGTTTAGGGTTTAGGGTTTAAGGTTTAAGGTTTAAGGTTTAGGATTCAGGCCGCAAGAAACAAACGACGCGCTAAGCTGGAACTTGATCTGGGGTGCTTCCGCGACTGGGAGAGATTTCGTTTTCAGGTTTGTTGGGCCTCCTTGCGGCCCGTCCCCACTCAATTTTAGTAGTGAGGGGGTTGGGGCGGGTTAATGGCCGTGTAGGGCTTAGGAGGAGCTAAAGGTTCAGAGTGTGTTGCACGGAGTTGAAGAGGCTGGTGGCTTAGGGTTGAGGACGCATGGTCTTGGCCTGCTGCAGCCTTAGGGGCGGGTAAGGAAGCTACTCAGAAGGTTGCTTTAAGCATCTCCCCCAAGCCCTCAATCCCAAACCCTAAACCCTAAACCCTAAACCCTAAAACCCTAAAACCCTAAACCCTAAACCCTAAACCCTAAACCCTAAACCCTAAACCCTAAACCCTAAGCCCTAAGCCCTAAGCCCTAAGCCCTAAGCCCTAAGCCCTAAGCCCTAAACCCTACACCCTAAACAAAACCGCCGAGGCCAAGCTGCTTGTTGTTCTTGTTCGAGCTCTCATCCTCCCTTGTCTCCCAGAGCTTCCTGTAGAGATTGAACCTGGGGGCTGGCTTTAGGGGGTTTAGGGTTCAGGGTTTTGAGGTTTTAGGGGTTTAGGTGTTTAGGGGTTTAGGGTTGAGGGTTTAGGGCTTTGGGTTTGGGGGTTAAGGGGGGTTAAGGGGGGGCTAGGGGGGGTTAGGGGGGGCTAGGGGGTTTAGGGGTTTTGGGGTTTAGGGGTTTAGGAGGGGTTTAGGGACCTAGTGCAACCCCCCCCCCCCCCCCCCCCCCCCCCCCCCCCCCGCGCCAGCCCAACAAAAAAAACGATTGAAGGCACAAACCCTGAACCCCAAACCCTAAACCCTAAAACCCTGAACCCTAAACAATCGCGAAGCGCCCCGCAGCATCCCTCTCCAAATCCCTGAACCCCTCCAGCCCAACCAGAAACCCTAAACCCCAACCCCCCCCCCCCCCCAACAAAAAAAAAACCCAAAAGACCCAAAACCCTAAAACCCTAAGCCCTCAAAAGCCCTCAAAAACCCAAATAGCCCGACTCCTGCAACCCGGGCGCTGGTTGCGCGAACCGAAGGCTGTGAGGTCGCCGGCGATGAACCTGAAACTTCTGGAATCCGTCTTCGGCGGATTAGGGTCTAGGGTCTAGGGTCTAGGGTCTAGGGTCTAGGTTCTAGGGTCTAGGGTTTAGGGTTTAGGGTCTAGGGTCTAGGGTCTAGGGTGTAGGGTGTGCGCAGGGTGTAGGGTTTAGGGTTTAGGGTTTAGGGTTTAGGGTTTAGGGTTTAGGGTTTAGGGTTTAGGGTTTAGGGTTTAGGGTTTAGGGTTTATTGTTCACCCTCGGACAGGCCAGAAGAGGCACATTCCACCTAGAAATTTGGTGGGATGACCCTCCAGGTCCACTGTGAAACGCTAAACCCTAAACCCTAAACCCTAAACCCAAAAACCCATGTTGAAGTAGCTTAGGGCTCTTTCGGACAGAGTTCAGCAAGAGTCAGCTAGGCAAAAAAGTGTGCCCGTTTTGGTTTGAAGGGGCTTGGTAACAAAGGGAGAATAAGGGCCTACTCTGGTTCCCAAACCCCAAACCCTAAACCCTAGACCCTAAACCCTAGACCCTAAACCCTAAACCCTATCTGGGCTATAGCTACCCCAGGAATGCCTTTGGTTAGCACTACGTGTGTAGCACAAGGCTCAGTATACTGCACCTTCATGTGGTCTAGAGAGTGCTTCTTGTTGTTTCGGGGTTTCGGGCTAGCCTAAACCCTGAACCCGAAACCCTACTCCCTTTTTGCAACCAGGAGAGCACAGCTGCTGGGAAGCCCTACACCCTAACACCCTGAAACCCTAAACCCTAAACCCTAAACCCTAAACCCTGAACCCTAAACCCTAAACCCTAAACCCAACCCTAAATCCTAAACCCTAAACCGCTTCGTAGGGTTTTGAGGCTTCAGAGGAAGAGGCTTCTTGGGAGAGGTGGGCTTGCATGGTGGTGGTGCAATGCATTCTGGGGCTTTGGGGCTCCAGGGTCTGTTTGGGGTTTTGGCGTCTAGGCCGGGGTCACCCTGCTTCAGTTCAAGCCCCTTCAAGGTGGAGCCGGCCCTTCACCCGGCCCCTGGGGCCCCTGGAAGCCCTCAACCCCTGAAACCCTAAACCCCCAAACCTGAAACCACCAGACCATAAAGCCCGTATGCTCCGAAAGACAGTCGGCAGCGCAGGCAGCCCTCAAAACAAAGATGCCTAAACCCCAAACCCCTGGCACCCTTTACCGTAAACCTCTAGACCCTAAGCCCTCCAACCAAAAGGGACTGGAAGCTCCCTCCAACCCTAAACCCTAATCCCTCCATTTCTCAAGCCCAGTCGCACACCCAAAGGCTTCGCCACAGGCACCTTCTCGCCCTCCAGCCACGACAGATCTTCGAGGGCCTTGTACTAGGGTTTAGGGTTTAGGGCTTAGGGCTTAGGGCTTGGGGTTTAGGGTTTAGGGTTTAGGGTTTTGCCACCCGCCGAGCTGAGCCCAGAGGGCCACTCTAGGGTCTAGGGTTTAGGGTTTAGGGTCCCTTAGGGGCTTCGGCTTCTTTGTTTGAGGCTTTGGGGCTGCTTCGTTTCGAGAAAATGATGAAGTATGATCTTCTTGAGCCCACTTCAGACAATTGTGGACTATCCGTAGACCCTGGCCTGCCTACTGGGAGGTACAGCGTACTTATAACCCAGCTATAAGTGTAGTTCTAACCCACTTGGATTAAAATCATAAGCCCCCCGTTTAAGTGCCCTTGTTAGGTTGTAGTTGGGATATAAGTGCAGTTATACTTGGGTTCCTAAGTACCCTGAACCTCCAAGTAGACCAAAACATCCTATCTAAAGGCCAGCCGTCCTGGCAAAGAGGAACGACATGGTTGATGGGTTCATACAAAGCGCTTGGCTTCGAACTCAACTGGGAACTGTCCGCGAGAGACATGCAGGTTTATGGTGTTGGGGCTTAGGATTTAGGGTTTAGGGTTAGCTGCCTAACTGAGGTTTGTTAGATGAGGACAAACCATTTCGCATGACAGTTGCACATGTGTAAGGGACCTCCTGCAACCCAGGTTTGCAACAGCCTGTGAGCAATCCGCATAGAAGCCATCTTAATCGTACTAGCCGGCAGCCCCACATGCAGTCCACGCAGCCGACAAGCAATTCCTAAAGACACTAAACCCTAAATGAGCCAAACCCCAAGAATGCTGATCTACTACGAAGGATGCAAGGGCGGCATCAGAAGCTACAGACATCCATGTGATGGTGTAAAAAACTTTAGATTTTTCACCCGCAATACACCAGTTTTCGGGTTAAGTTTACGGTTCCTATAACAAACTAGGGTTTGGTGCTAGGACCGTAGGAACTGCTGAAAGCTGTGGCTCCTACAGCAAACTCGGGTTTGGTGCTAGGAACTGCTTACAACTGCGCCTGCATGCCCTGGATCATGTACCAGTTGTCCTCCGTGGCGCACGGCACGTCCATGCGCGAATCCTCCTGTGCACCGGAATTTGGAGCTGCCTTCCCTTCCACAGAAAGTCTTGATCCCCTAAACACTAAACCCTAAACCCTAAACCCCAAACCCTAAACCCTAAACCCTAAACCCTGAACCCTGAAGCCTGAACCCTCTTGCAGCAGGCTTGGAAGGGGAGCCCTAAACCCTACACCCTAAACCCTAAAGGCTTGGAAGGTGAGCCCCAAACCCTAAGCCCTAAACCCCAAACCCTAAACCCTAAAGGCTTGGAAGCTGAGCCCTGAACCCAGAGCCCTAAATGAGGCCCGGCCCCTCTGTTGCTGGAAGCCGATGCCCAGCATTGCCCCAACGGCAGGTCGGTAGGGAAGGGGGTGCCAAGGTTGACGACCTACTTTAAGGGTTGGGGTTTCGGGTTTAGGGTTTAGGGTTTAGGGTTTAGGGTTTAGGGTTTCGGGTTTCGTGTTTCGGGTTTCGGGTTTCGGGTTTCGGGTTTCGGGTTTCGGGTTCAGGGTTCAGGGTTCAGGGTTCAGGGTTTAGGGCTGCGCTCACCACTTTTGAACAAAGGGCGCCGAGAGGTCAGTCTTCAGCGACATCTTTCGCGTCCTTGCTAAGGCCGAGCGTCTCAATTGAGTCGTAGCTGCAGCAATCCTGGAGCTAAGCTCAGGAGTGTCAGGGCACATACTGGACCACGAAAGATGGGTACGCCTGCTCCCGGTCGAAAATCACAAACTCCTGGTGAACTTGTGTGGGATTGTGATGCCCACTGATGGGTCCCGGATTCACCACCACTGAATGGTGAGTACCCGTCGCTGCGGTTCGGTTAGGAGGCCTCCGCGTGCCTTGCCTGGGCTGTTCTTGCTCGGAGGTCTCGCATATCTGAAAGTGTTAGCCGGAAGCAGAACAAGTACCATTCATGTATTCATGACACGAAGCTTGGCGAAAGTCAACTGCGAATCATGATGCTCCACGGTCGCAACTTGTGTTGTGGCCCTATCGCGGACACCATGGAAGTCATGTGAGCTTGGTCGCGCGGGAACTCAGCGTCCGATTGCATGGATTGGGCAGCGCTGCAGATGATAAGTGCTCATGGGAATTTGCGTGGCTCTAGCCAGGGCGGAAGTAAGTGTTCGTGGAGTTCGGTGGGCCTGAGGCCGATCCACTAGCTACACTACATGTATGGCCAGCGGCGCCAGCTTCTTGGGCATAGCACAAACTTGGCAAACGCATGGGACGGCAGGCATGCAGGGCCACAAAGTCATGCAAAAACGATGTGCAAAAATCCGATTAACTCAAAAACTCCCTGAGACGTTCAATGAACTTTGCGTCGGACTGCGCGTGGGATCATTGTTCACACGAACAACAAAAACGCTAGTTAAATGCACAGACACGGACACGCACAGTCATGTCCTGACTGTTTACACAATATCTGGAACGAAAGGCTTCAAAGCGAAACGGAAAGCTGAAGAGGCTGATGTAAAAGAGATGCCGCGTGTGCATTTCCCTTTCGTATTTAACCCAGGCGACCTCCAAACACTTTATGGGTCGGGGCTTCTTAAAATTGAGGTCTTGCGACTTCAGGTTAGGCTATGGAAAGCACATGAAAGCAGTTTCAAATCGCATCCAGCTGCCGAGTTTGAGATGCAACAAAGGCATCGCCAAGCGCCACGCGGGCGATAATCAAGGTCCTCTCCTGCTTGCATTTGCAAGCCTTGCCCGTGTGAGCACTGCAGGTGTATTGATGGGACTTGCACGCGGCACCAGCAAAGTAGACCCCTTCTCCATACATGGCACGATTGCAGGTCCTGTGATCGAAGCCGTCCATGACGATGGCATCCGCATTCTCCCAGGAGGTGCCATGCAATAGGATCTTCTCCTTACGGTTGGTTAGTAGGGAATGAGGGAATGAGGTACCCTATATCCCCCTATAAGTACCCTTTAAGGGATTATATAGGGTACCTGATTCCCTCATTCCCTACTAACCAACAGTAAGTCTCGTCCACATCCGAGGCCAAGGGTACTCCGCAGTCCAAGGCAGACTGACTTTGACTCATCGCTCCATGGCGCCCGTCGAGGTCGAGGGAAGTACCCTGCACAGAGACGTTGTACTTTGCGTGGTCTTCCCTCATCGCGGCAAGCCTCGCCTGGTACCGATGCCACAGGCGGAAGTTCTCAATTCGATGGACCGACACCACCTTCGCATTCTCCATACGAGAACAGTCACTTGACTTGTCGGATGCGTGGCCCGTGTGTCTTAGAATGTACTCGACCCATTCTAAGATTTTGGAATCCGTCACCTCGACATAAAGGGACGCTACGTAGCCACCTTGCGTGAGCAGAACTGCCGGGTCGCTCTCCCAGTGTGCTGGTACTCCAGTCCAGAGGCGGATGTTCCGCAGCTTCATTGTCTTAGCATGCTGCTGCGTCATTTGTTCAAAGTCAACCACACGCGCAACTCCCCCAGCTACGATTGTTTCGCTTCGGCAGCTCTGTGCGTCATGGATGTAAGCCAGGTAAGCTCGGTTCATCTGCTCACTTCCCTCTGGTGTAAAGGCATACCAGTGGCCATCCTGCTCATACTGCCAAAAAGCACCATGACAAGCAGATGGCCTCTGCTCCCGCAACCTGGACAGCTGCTCCTCAAAAGAGCAGGGCCACAAGCGTAACAGCTTCTAAAAAATAGCAGGTCGGTTCCCTTAACACAACTGCTGTGCAACTGCCTATGATCCCTGGTCGTGCCTATGCTCTTCTTCAAACTGGATACTGTATACACATGAATGTTCTTTGGGTTTGGTTGTAGACCAAATCTGCCCCAAACCCTAAACCCTAAACCCAAAGCCCAAAGCCCTAAGCCCTAAGCCCTGAGCCTTCAGCCCTAAGCCCTAAGCCCTAAACTCTAAACCCAAAACCCTAAGCCCTAAACCCTAAACCCTAAGCCCTCAGCCTTAAGCCCCAAGCCCTAAACCCAAAACCCTAAACCCTAAACCCTAAACCCTATAGACCCTAAACCCGGATTCGGCTATCGTTTCTTCGGGCCCCACCAGTACTCCTCAGCAGATAGGCGCTTGGCAAGCTCCATATCCAGGTCAGCCTGCGGGTTCTAGACCCAAGGGTTTAGGGTTTAGGGTTTAGGGTTTAGGGTTTAGGGTTTAGGGTTTAGGGTGAGGTTTAGGCTTTAGTCGCTCAGGGTTTCGGGGTTTCGGGTTCACGGCCGAGCCTCTGAGTCGGCTTCAGTATCTTTTCAGGGATGAGGGTTTCTCGTGCCTCGGGACTTTAAGGCTTATGAACCCTTTTTGCTCAAACTTAAAAATCTAAGCGCTCAGGATAGAGCTTTTTGGGCAGCTTCCCGTGCACCACAAGTGATTTGCCCAATCTCTGCCTCGAGATTCTCCAGCCTCAGCTAAAGCCCTTTGAGCTGCAAAATGTGGTCTCGTCTGAACAGAGAAAACCTAAACCCTAAACCCTAAACCCTATGAAACTACACTCCCAAAAAAAACCTTCTCAACTAGGGCCCAGCTGCTTCTTCCTCTCAAGATCACGGCTCATCTCTGCAGAGATCCGCTGCGCACGCTCGGAAGCTAGGTCAGCCTGAAGAGCCAGGATCTTCTTCTTGTTGGCCTCAAGGCACTTCTCTGCCCACAGCCGTTTCTCACTCTCGGCAGCGAGCCCAGCCTGGAATCGCAGTGATAGCTGAAACATGCAATCCTAAACCCTTCGCAGCACTAGGGGGGGGGGGGGGGGCATACTTACAACCCTACTTAGAACTACCCATGAACCTCCAAGTAGGGTTTAGGACCGATTTAAGGTTGGGAGTTTCTCACTTGTACTCAATCTTGGCCTCAGCGGTTGCCATGTCTGCCTCAGGGATGGCTTTGTCCAAGGAAATCTAAAAGGGCTTAGGGTGAACCCTAAACCCTAGCCCTAAACCCTAAACCCTGAACCCTAAACCCTGAACCCTAAACCCTTGGCCTCAAGCTTCTCAAGCTTCCTCTTATCGAGCAGGTGGCTCTCCTCTGCTGAGTATCGCTTTCGCCATTCCGAGGCGCGGTCCGCCTGAAGGTGTTAGTTTAGGGTTTAGGGTTTAGGGGTTAGGGGTTAGGGTTTAGGGTAAGGGTTAAGGGTTAAGGGTTAAGGGTTAAGGGTTAAGGGTTAAGGGTTAAGGGTTAAGGGTTAAGGGTTTAGGGTTTGGGGTTTTGGGGTTTTGGGTTTAGGGTTTAGGGTTTAGGGATTTTCTTGTGTTAACTTTATGGGGGTTTCCGAAAATAGGATTGTGCAATCTTGGGGTGTTTCTGTAATAAGGGTTGTCGTCGTTCGGTACTTATTAGGGGGAACCCCAAATTCTAGGAAGCATCCGTATTCAGCCGCATAGATTCACAAAAGAACAGTCTGATAGGAACCGCACATCCTATCATTCACCATCATGCTCTACCTTAGGCTTATGGAGTTCTTAAGGGAAACCCTGGGTTACATACCCCCCATATACCCCCTTGAACCCCCCTCCCTGAAGAACCCTACCCTAAGCCCCAGACGATCAAAACCCGCTTCCGCTTGTCTTGATCCTGCCGTGCCTCCGCCGAAATCCGCCTCTCACGCTCCGAGGTAAGTTCTGCCTCATAGGGGGGCTCGGGCCTTAGAAAATTGATCCGCTAGAAGGATATATGGAGGAATATAGGGTAGCGGATTCCCTGAGACCTGCAAAGGCCTTAGGAGGCAAGTGCCTAACTGTTCTTTGTTGAATGCCTTGGAAGCAGCAGTAGTTGAGACCACTAGTTGTACGCCTTATGAGAGCACCTCTATCGTTTAGAACATCTCCCTTAAGTTACCCTTAAGTTAAGGGACCAGCTTAGAGAACTTGACTTCGAAACGATGCCTTGCTCTGACCCCGTTCCTGGCCTCCAGCTTCTCCAGCTTCTCCACATCGAGGTCATGTCTCCTTGGTTGCTCTTTAACCCCCCAGGAAAAGCTTAACTCTTAGATCCCTTGATATGAAATACGAGGAACCCCAAAACTTAAGACTTGTCGTAAAGTCCCACCTAGTCTCTCTCGCAATGTCTTGCAAAAGCCCCACTCGTCGCACAATGCCCTCTCGGCTTCGGCAAGCTTCGATCGGGCATCGGCGAGTTGCCTTGGTAGCCCTAAACCCTAAACCCTAAACCCTATACCCTATACCCTAAACCCTAAACCCTAAACCCTAAACAAGGGTACCCTTTCTGGGGGTTAGGTACCTAGAACCCCAAAAAGAGAAAAAAAGGGCACCACTGGGCAACCAAGTAGCTCAAGCCCCGAGGATGTCCCGCGATGGGAGTTCCGGCCTGTGGGCGAACTGTCGTACCAAGATCGGGAATGGCTGGCAGATTCACGATCGCTTTGACAAGACGCTCTGTCATTGGAACCTTCCCATCCTATCTGAATCAGCTCCCAAGGGGGCAGGTCGTTCGAAGGAGCGCATCCACTGGCCCGTGCAGCTGAATCGCGCTCCGTCGGAGGTTCCGATGGCCCCAGCTCGACTTTCTCCAGATCTGCTGGCATGTTGGGGCAGGTACCTGCCTCCATTTTGAGGCGGAGCTGCTTGGGCAAAGTGCTGCAAGCTGGGCAAAGCGGCTCTGCACTTGATTTGTTGCCTAAGAATCATATACGATGGCCGGGCCTCATAAGCACCCTAAACCCTAAACCCTAAACCCTAAACCCTTAAACCCTAAACCCTAAGCCCTAAGCCCTAAACCCTAAACCATCCTAAACCCTAAACCCTAAACCCTAAACCCCGCTTAGAGTTCTTCGGCTAGTGCGTAGGAACTCAGGTTCAAGGCCTGTTTTCTGGGGAGATCACACATGCAAGGCCTAGAGTCTGGACTGCCTACAGTTCAATCACCATGAAGGCCTCCTGAAACAGAAGGGTTTAGGGTTTAGGGTTTAGGGTTTAGGGTTTAGGGTTTAGGGTTTAGGGTTTAGGGTTTAGGGTTTAGGGTTTAGGGTTTAGGGAAATTTTGGTATTTTACACGCTCATGGCACAGGGAGTTGATGGGAATGGTATTGGTAACTTCTGTGGGCTCCTGCCTTTTCTTCTAGAGCGGGTGTCCTGTTTCGCTACATCTTACGGCCTTGTTCAACCCCTTCTTTTTCGAAACCCTGCACCCTGAACCCTGAACCCCTAAACCCGAAATAACCCTAAACCCTAAATCCTAAACCCTAAACCCTAAACCCTCTTGAACCGCCTTGTGGCACCAAGGAAGCTGCACGTCAGAGGCCATGACGACGGTCACGTCACGGTTTCCGTTGTCCTCGGCTACCCTTTTCAGGCATATGCCATGCAAGAGGCTCCTCAAAACCTGGTCTAGGGTTTAGGGTTTGGGGTTTAGGGTTTAGGGTGTAGGGTTTAGGGTTTAGGGTGGACAACATACTACGAGGCAGGGTCAGCAATGAGATGGCATGCTGCAGAGATCTCAGGGTTAACCGCCTAAGCGCTATCAAGCACTGCCGCTGCCCAAACAACAACCCCAAGTTCATAAGTCATACGCGTGCACATGCATGATCAGTTGGAATGTTCCCTCCTCCTATACTAAAAGTCTCAATAGGGATTATAGTACACCCTCAACCCTAAACCCTAAACCGTGAACCCTAAACCCTAAACCCTATTATAACCCCTAGTAAGGACTGTTTGTATAGGGGGGAACATCCCGAATGATCAGTCCTAAGCCGCGCCCCCAACCCTCAACCCTCGGCCGTGAACCTAACTCGAAGCCTAAACCCTAAACCCTAAACCCTAAACCCTAAACCCTAAACCCTAAACCCTAAACCCTAAACCCTAAACCCTGAACCCTGAACCCTAAACCCTGAACCCTGAACCCTAAACCCTAAACCCTAACTCGAAGCCTAAGGTAGGAGTCCAAGACTCGAAGCCTTGCGATCGTGTAGGCCATTGAGGGTTTTGAGGTGGCGGGTGCGGCTTCTGAAGTGTTCCGAGGAGCTTCCGACTTATTCGGGCTTTTACAAGTAACGCCTTAAACCGACCTAAACTCTAAACCCCAAACCCTAAACCTAAACCCTAAACCCTAAACCCTAAACCCTAAACCCCTAAACCCCTGAACCCCTAAACTAAACCCTAAAGCCTGAACCCTAAACCCCAAACTCTGAGCCTAAACCCTAAACCCTAAACGCCTACAGCCTCTTTTACGCCCTAAACTCACTTCTAGCCGTGCCGCTGGCTGCTCACCCGGGCCGAAGTTGTCGCCTAATTCTTCAAAAGTTCTTCAGGGGTAGTAGTGGGGGTTTAGGGTTTAGGGTTTAGTGCGGTCTGCCTGGGATCGAACTCGAACTTGCCTACTCTTTTTTGCTGGGGCGGGGTGGGTGGGGGGGGGGATGTCCTCTACATAGCAGGTGAATTTGCGGCATGGTATAGGTGTTTCGGCATATAGGGCCCGTGCAGGCCCGAGTGCCCGAGAAAACTTGCTCTGTGCAACTGCTACCAGCCTCATAAGCCCTAAGCCCTTAAACCCCAAGAACCTCGAGCTCCTCTGGCAGCTGTAAACTCTTAGGAGTTAAGGGTTCAGGGGAAAGAGTTCATAAAGTGCTTGGGGGCTTTTGCCACCCGCACTGGGGTTTCGTGCCCTAAACCCTAAACCCTGTTATAAGCATGGACTCAGGAGGCTGCCGGCAAGACCTCCTTCTTGCCTTTGCCTATAACCCCGCACCCTGGACCCTAAACTTTGGGGTTCCGAATGGGCTGTGGAGCTTTATACGGGCCCCCAGAGTTCAAGCGTTACACACTGTGGAACTCCGCCCGATAACGATCCCAGCCCTAAAAGCCACGAACCCCTAAACTTGCAAAACTTCCGCTGAACCCCCTAAATCCTAAACCCTAAACCCTAAACCCTAAACCCTAAACCCTAAACCCTAAACCCCCTACCCCCTAAACCCTAACCCTAACCCCATACCCTAAGCCCCAAACACCCAACAAACCCCCCCCTAAACCTTGAACCCAAAACCTGCCAAAACCCCTTAATTAAGGATGTGCCCGAATCTACACTAGGATCATTATTATGAATTGGGGTATATATATATATATGTAGAAAAATATATATAGATATATATATATATATATACATACATTCCTGAATTACTTACTTCTCCAAGAACCAAGGGCAAAAGGTTAAACTCGAGTATTCCTACAGAATAAGGAAAGCCGAAAAGTTTAAAGTTCAACTGTTGGCTCAGGGGATTTGGAGGATCTGGCTTTCCTGAAACCCTAAACCCTAAACCCTAAACCCCCAGATCATGGGGATGAGCTGCCGAGCTTGCACGTCTTCGGCGCCTTGCCTGAGCCGCGGCTGTAGCTGCCTCAAGGGTTTAGGGTTTAGGGTTTAGGGTTTAGGGTTTAGGTTTTTTTTTTTTGCCACCCCCCTAGCTGACACTCAGGCCACATTGCAGGCACTCATTCCGGGAAAAGACTGCCGAACCCTAAACCCTAAACCCTAAACCCTACACCCTAAACCCTAAACCCTAAACCCTTTAAAGATATCGCAGAAAACCGTGACCATCTCAGGGTGATGCTTTCACGATACAAGTGCGTAAGACCCAAGACGCACTTGGTTAGGGTTTAGGGTTTAGGGCGTAACTAGGGCTTAGGGGTTAAGAGTTTACTTGGGGGTTCATGGGTGCTTATAAGTAGCGATATAGGTAACCTTACACAAGGTGTTACAAGTGACCATACTTACAACCCTACTTCTAGCTTCCAAGCACACGGGTAGGGCTTCCTACATTTGGGGGCCCTTTGTTGGGCTACCTCTCTGCCAGATTTTTGGGGCACCCCAAACGGTCATGTGTGTGTACGTATGTATGCATGGTGTATACAGACACGTGAACGCCACATGCTGGGAAGTAAAACTTGAAGCTTATGAAAATCCCAAACCCGAATTTGATCCTAAACTCCCCGACACCCAACTGCACAGTCGAAACGCCGGACGCCATGCAACAAGGCATGCCATCATCCCAGGCAGGGATGCTAACCCACCTTCGCCCTACAACCACAAATGCGAGCGCCGGAGGACCTTTTGGCTTTGTGTTGATGTTCAGGCCATTCTTCTTGCACATGCCGCCGGCAACCTTTCATGTTGCGAGGTCGCGGGTGGTACGGGGTAATTAGGGGTTCTCAGCAGCAAGTCCTCACACTCCGTCTGCTCTAGTTGGTTCCTTGGGGACATTGCCTTCATGGGTTTGTGCCATCTCCTTCCCGGCGTACATGCTGGCGCACCCTCTTGCAACAGCACTCATGGCTGCGCTAAGTAAGAAACCACACCTCCCAAGACTCTGAACCCTGAACTCTCAAACCCTCATATTCCAGTATGAGCTGCAGACTGTGCACTAAACCCTGAACCCTGAACCCTGAACCCAAAACCCTAAACCCGAAACCCTAAACTCTCAACCCTAAACCCAAAGCAAAAGGCAAAAACCAAAGCAGCAAGCCCTCACCTCTGTCCATCCCTTCGGGCAGTCTTCTTTCCAGCACTGGCTCAACGTCCCAATGGGATACCTGGGAATTACAAACCCCAAGCCCTAAACCGTAAACCCTAAACCCTAAACCCCATTTCGATACCTTTGCAGGGTGGTGGCTGAGTTTGTTCCGTTTTGGGTATGGAGATGTAGGCTGCCATGTGCATACCTCGACTAAGCATGGATACTTTTTTTACACCCGAACGCAATTTAAGGGAACCCTCTGAACTCTTCCAGTTTGGAGAGCCCTGAAATCTTCATTTCGATACCTGCAGAGGCGCGACCTCAGTCCCGAAGCAAACGGAGCAAGGGTTTAGGGTGGAGGAGTCACCCTAAACCCTAAACCCTAAACCCTAAACCCTAAACCCTAAACCCTAAACCGGTTTAAGGCTTCCGGACACAAGAATCAGCCCTGGGCACTCGAACTTGCAGTGCTCGAAGCACTCGACGCCCTGCGCAAACACAGCCGTACCCGAAAACCCCCAAGCCCTAAACCCTAAACCCTAAACCCTAAACCCTAAAGCGCCTGTTTGGGGGCAGTTGGTGAGCCCTGGTAGCCATAAGCCTATGTGCACTAATAATGGTATATGGTTATAGATGAAAGTTGCCGTGCAGACAATGTGCACTAAGCAGGGTTATCGTTATAGTTGCCGTGCTTAGGAGGGTATTCGGGTTTTTGGTTTAGACGGAATCTCAACATTTACGCCACCCAGACAAGGCCCCTAGTGTGTTCTAAATGCACACAGACATGTGTTTATAAGGTCTGTGAATGCAGGGGGCAGGGGCTCATACTGGTATATCTTTACCAGCAAGCCTCCAGTACTTCAGGCTCCCAAAGTCCTGCAGACTGTAGCCCAGAAACCTTCACAAGAGGGCCCCTAAACCCTAAACCCTAAACCCTTAAGAGCGGCCTCAAAGTACCGGCCCTTGGTGCACAGGGTGATCGCGGCATCCTCGGGTCGAAGCTCATGGGCTTGTGGTTTAAGGGTTCGGGTTTAGGGTTTAGGGTTTAGGGTTTCGGGTTTAGGGTTTAGGGTTTAGGG